CACCTGGGCATCGAAAAACACTACAACGCATGGAAGATTTTCGACGTCGCGACAAAAGAAACAGTGGCAGCACGTGATGTCATTTTCTACGAGCGGCTCACACTGCAGACGTACCTTGCCAACCTGGACGAAAACCGAGACCCCACAGGTGGCTTCCGTGGAGACCGAGCCTTCGCTTCGGCAGAAAACGAAGCTGACTGGGACGAGCAGAACGTGGAAGGAGCCTCGGAAGAAGCCGGACCCCTCCCCTACTGCTCCGTCAACGTACCAATGGACGACGAAAACCCACGCGAAAGCATCAACGCCGACGCCTACTACCATTTCGCTGACAACGGTTACGTTACACCTGCACAAGTCAACACCGACGAAGCAGAACGCGTAGGACCTAATTTCGCACCTGATCCAGAAGCGGGAGACGAAGCAGTTTATCCCGAGGACACTTCACTCCCCCCCCAACACACTGAGTGGACTCCAAATCCTTGGTCTCGTCACCGCAGTTCACGGCGCAGCCATTCCTAAAGAGCCTGCGACAGTTCAGCAGGCTCTGGGGGGGGAGCATAAGGAAAAATGGCGCGAAGCCATGGACAAGGAGCTGAAAGCACTGGAAGAACGGAACACCTGGAAAGTTGTTCCCATCGGCGTCGCACGAAACAAGACAGTACTCACCGGGAAATGGGTCTTCCGCGTGAAGACGAAGGCCGACGGCACCATTGACAAATTCAAGGCACGCTGGGTCGTGCGCGGCTTTAACCAAGAACACGGGCGAGACTTCACCGAAACTTTCGCTCCAGTCAGCCGACACACCTCACTACGCATTCTCCTCGCAATCGCCGCCATGAAGAAGAAGAAGCTGCGGCAAATCGACGTCGCGAACGCGTTTCTCTACGCACCCGTTGACGCAGAAATTTTCGTGGAACTACCGCACGGTACCAACGGGGAGCCGAACCAGGTCTGTCAACTGCTGAAGTCGCTCTACGGGATTAAGCAAGCTTCGCGGCTATGGCAGCAGTATCTGCACGCCCGCCTCATCCGCATCGGCTTCAAGCAATTACCTCACGATCAGGGGATGTACCGACTCACGAAAGGCGCAGACTACATCCTGCTAATCGTCTACGTAGACGATCTCCTTTACATCGGCTCAACTGACGGCATCACTACCTGGTTCGAAGGGGAACTGCAGCAAGATCTCACGCTCACGGTCTCATCTACCGTCACTCAGTACCTCGGGCTCAACATCCGGGAAGAGGAAGATGCGATCTACCTCAGCGCCGCGAAATACGCCGACACCATCGCCAAGCGCTTCATACTTACACCAACCGCCATCTCTACACCGTACCGCTACACGTCAGGCAACAACAAGGAAGGCCCCGTTCTACTCAAGCCCGCCGGCATACGCGACTACCAGAGAAAGCTGGGCTGCCTTCTCTTCGCAGCTGTTACCTGCCGTCCAGACCTATCGTACTCTGCAAGCCAACTCGCAACCTACCTCAAGAGGCCCGAAGCGGAACACCTAGCGGAACTCGACCGCGCTCTTCACTACCTCGTTAGCACCCCAACGATCGGCCTAACCTACCACAAGAACGCAACCACACCGACTAAGTTAATCGGCTACGTCGACGCCGATCACGCTGGCGACTCCGACAACAGGCGTTCGCGCACCGGCTACGTCTACCGCCTCGAACCTATCGGACCTATCTCTTGGCAGTCGAGCAAGCAGGAATTAATCGCTCTCTCGTCAGCTGAAGCAGAATATACTGCACTCTGCTCAGCCACGACTTTACCTTCGCGAGCTGCTGGAAGAAGCGAAGTTAGCTGAGTTACCCAACTTCACCCTGTTCTGCGACAACCAGTCGGCAATTCGCATCGCCAACAAGAACGGCTTCGCGAACAGGACGAAACACATTGCCCTACGCTACTTCTTCGTGAAGGACGAAATCGAGAAGGGGAGACTCGAGCTGTCATACTGCCCCACGACCGAGATGGCAGCTGACTACTTGACCAAGAAGCTCGGGAAGCAGAAGTTTGAGTACTGCATGCTGCTGACTGGACAGAGCCAAGTCACCAGCAGCGACAGTCCAGAAGCGAAGGGGAGTGTTGGAAACAATCAGTCTTAAGCGCCTCTGTCGTGTCGAAACACCAAGACACAAGCGAAGCAAAGCATATCGAGGCACCAGCGAGTCAACCCTCGGAGGTTGAAGTAACCGCTGGAGGTTACGCGAAAGTCAAAGGTCAGCGACCTTTGACCTGACAAGTACAGCGCGACAGCAAGGACACACAACTGACTCGCTACAGAGCAGTTGCCCGAGTCGTCACTGTATCGAACCGCAACAGCAACAGTAAAGTAGTTACAACCGTGTCTCTTCGTATTCCTTGTACTCTTATATAATCTTGTATCTCTTTGCTTTAATCAATCGACTTTGCCCTCACATACTAGCGCAAGGTGGTTCACAATCTCTTCACAAAACGCTTCCGCTATTACAATCCTACCCAGAGTTCATCCCTGTAAAGATCCCAAGGGCTTTTTCTCAGCCCAACATAAAATTCACAATGATACCCAGACATAAAAATGTTGCATGCATGTCCAGCTCAAATGTCCGAGTACTTACATAGTGTTATTATAATGATTCCCTTCCATGTGCACTCTACTTTGATGTTTAGATGCGTATGTCAATGACTAGCTTTACCACTGAAGGAATCAGGGGACAACTGTACCATAACTCCGTAATGGCTGATTCGCTAGGTGTATGATTTGAAGGCCCGACACATGCATTTTGCCATGCTTTCGGCGAACTGCCCACGGGTCCCTTATCCTCAACAAATGGACATGATCAAGGCGACTGACAAGGAACTGACGTGGCTGGAAAATCAGATGTGCTTGATGCTAGGCCTTTCCGGATGTCAAGCTTTACTTCTGGCGTGTACATTACAATAGAACCGAGTGTTACGTGTTCACGGCTAGCTCTGACCACGAGCTAGCACGCTCAGCAAAATATCTCGATTCCCATTCGTCCGCCGCAGAATTCTGACTGTGCGCCACTAGATTCTCGACTGGACTTGAACTCGTGGTTGTCGTTGAAGAAGGTTGTTGGTAACGAGTCCGGGAAGGCGTGTATGTGACTCTACTTGACATCATGGTTACGTGGCAATCAATGACACAAATGCTACACTTTCCACGTAATAAATCTCTGTTGATTGGAAGCTTTGTCGGTGATCCGCGATGTGTGGATCAGCACGACTCAGTTGCACGCGAAACACGTCGATCTGAGACAGATCATGGGACCACTGACGACTTTCCCGCATCTGTGCTGGCTCACTTGATCGTCACCATCAACTCATTCGCAACCCTCACCGTGCTGACGTGCCTCGTCCGAACTCAGTGGAAGTTGGGATCACCACGTCGACATCTGCACATCCCCAAGATGTGGTGTCCGCAAGGTAGGCAATTTTCCGTTATCGTCTTCCGTCCAATGCTGATCCACAGTGGCCTCTTTTCCATCCCTTCCCTTTTCCCTCCATCCACTTGGCACCGCGATCTCTCGCTGACTAGCCTACCTCTCGCGCGATTCGCCCGTCCGGTTGCGGGAAAGGGGAACGAGCAATCCCAAGGCAGGGAAAAGCAACCCCAAGGCAACGAAAACCTGGAAGTTGGGAGAAAGGGATGACGGATGAGGCGGACGGGATGGTTCGGGAGGTGGTTTGGAAGGCACTTGTTCGAGAGTCTCGACATTCGGTACGGAATGGTTCGGGAGGGGCGGGAGATGGTAGGGATGATCAATGGAGGGGTGGTGGAAATTGGAGAATCAACCGAACTGAACTTCCTATTGAAACCAGCGGTACCCTCTCAAAATCCTTTCTATTCCACCGCATTTCTCCACTCACTGTGTATCCTATCCATCCGTCACTCGCCTACGCATCGCCCCTCCTCCGCACCGCGACTGCATCTCGGCCAACAGCAGCAGCTGGAGTGGAGGAGCGAAGACTGGAGCAGAGCATTTCCGCTGCAGATACAACAGCATTCGACGGATCATTTTTCTAGCATTTCAACTTCGTCGTTTCCTTACACTTCAAGTAAAGCACACCTCATCAGGGACTCCATTTAGATTAGACGCCTTAATGTGTGTTATGCTCTTTACGACCCGCTCTATCTTCTCCTATCAAGTTCTCGCGCGACAATGGATCACCTTACTGCGACGTGCAAAAAGCAAGAGAATTTCCTGACATCCGCAAGCGAAATTACACAAGTCGCTCACACCTCACCCACTGAAACGTGCTTGGCTCCATTCTGTAACACGAACAGCCAGCAGCCATGCGAATGTGTGCACTCCGCTTTCCAGTTTTTCCCAACCACGCCCGTTCGGGACCCTCCTTCCCCTCGCTCCACCCCCGCGTCTCCCAACCACTGCAGCCCTTCCGCTCCTCTCGCTCCAATTGCTGACGTGGCTGCCACAGGCGTCCCCATTAAGCTTAGCCTTTGGCACACTCTCGACTCAGACGCGATTAAAGACAAACCCGACAACGACAGACAGGCACCCAAAAGCATTGGTGCTCAGAATGTTGTGGTATCGCCTCTCGCCGTGTCAACCACTGTCGCAGCGCCGTGTCGCCAGAAGCGAAGCCCCAGTAAGGAGCAGCCGGAACCAGAAGCGAGAATTAAGGCTTTAAAATCACGCGAGAAAAAAGACGTGGCAGAGCCGGCGCCGGTGCCAGTACCCGAGAGGAAACCGGTTAGCATCCAGCCCGCTCCCGCTGCGACTCTTTTCCCTTCGTTTCTACCCGCTGGGAGCCGTGGCATGCCGGCTTTACCGCCCGTGCCGGCCGCAGGCACCTGGTGGGGGCCGTTTGTTCCCTTCCCGCCCCCCCTCGTGCCGCTGCAGCCACAGAAACAGCTGTTGTCGCAGCAACCGCCGCAGCAGCCGCCGCAGCAACCGCTACAGCAGTCAATTCAGCATCAGGCATTTCAGCAGCAGCTGCAGCAACGGCTTCAGCATGCTTCGCCTGCCATGCAGCCATACGTCTACTTCTGCCCGCCTCCAGGCAACCCCTGCGCATCCGCCGCCGCAGATGCCGCTTCGTGGAACCAGCACTTTTCTCAGATGCCGCCGCCGCCGCCTCCGCTGGCACCGCTGGTTCCGCTGGCTCCGAGCTCCCCGCCCCGCGCGGACGCTCCGAAAGTGCAGCAGCCCTTTGCGGGGAAACCCGCGCTTCCCTCCGCAGCAGTCGGCGGAAGTTCCGGTTTCCGCCCGTGGAAGCAGCTCAAGGATCCTCGTGAGACCGCTTCCGCCGATTCCTCCCCCGTGCATCCGGGCCCCGCTTGCGCCTCGGCGGAGTCATGCCACGTCAGCAGCCCGTATCTCACGCCCTTCTCCGCGCCGCTTCCGCAAGCCGCGCAAGGTCTGGGTTTGGCGCACCTCCCTGCGCGGCCGTCCCCCCTCCCCATGTGTGGCGTCCCGCAGACAATTGCGCCCGGCATGGCTGCGCGGATGATCTCCGGAGCGGGCTTCGGCGGAGCCGCATGCGCGCAGTTCCCCCCGTTCGGGTGGCCTTTCCCCGGGTATGGGGAAGTGGCGGCGAGTATGAGGCCGAGCTCTCTTATGGCGTTAGAAGGGCATGCGTGTATCGGGGATAAGAGACGGCTGGGAGACGGGAAGGCGGATGCCGGGGACGAAGACACCCACGCGCGGAAGCGGCGCAGGCGGAGGGGGTGCGCGGAGCACACAGTAAGCGGAGAGGGCGCGGAGGTTGCGGGGGTCCACAGCGCCCATCACGATAGGGGAAGCGGGGGGGAATCGGGAGAGGGCGCGGAAAGGGGGGCGCATGGGAAAGGGGATGGGGGAGAGGAGAAGGAGTGCAGTAACTGCGGCACGCACACGACGCCGTTCTGGCGGAAGGACAGGGCGGGCGGAGGGCAGCACCTGTGCAACGCGTGTGGGCTGTACCTCGCTAAGAACGACGCCCCGAGGCCCGCTATACTGTGGAAACGAGGTGAGCACCGCGAATGAATGTTCAGGAGAGGATAAGAAGTAACATAGAAAAAAGCTGGTGAATGATGCAGGCTTTTGATTATTTCTGCCAATAAAAACATGTAAATATAATGAAACTCATCATTGCATTCATGTGTCCAATGTTTTAACCTCCACATTCTCCCTCTCTATGCCTGCCCCCCCTTTCCTCCCCACAACAGATGCACATGGGTCTCATGACACGGCATCACATGACTCTCCACTCCGTGAGGCACCACGGCATGCTGCACCCCACCCTCCCCTGCCACATCTCGCTCACTCTGCTCCTGTTGCCGCTGCCGGTCCTGCTGCTGCTGTTGCTCCTGCTGCTGGTGCTACTACTGCTGCTTCTCTAGTGGGCCATCTACCAGCTGTTGTCCCTCACAGCAACCATGTCTCGCCTGCTCTTGTCCCTCCGCCTCCCGCTGTTCACTGAACTCTGCACGCACTGCTGCACCCACTGCTTCGCTCAGTGACTCCTAACAAGCAGCCTTCTTGAATCCCCTCTCTGCACCTGCCGTCTCCTCCAGAATTCACTTCGTTCTTTTACCAAACTAAAAACCTGCTTTTCCTTGAGACTTCTCTCTAGCCAAGACACCCCGGGAGGAATGCTGTAGAGAATTGTTGCGCTGGGATATTTTTAGGTTTCTGTAGCAGAGTTAGAAAGGGGCTACGGTAGAGTCCTGCTTTATGTACCATCTCTAAAGGCCAGCACTGTGTATATGTTGCATATAGATCGCTCATTAGTACATGTTTGAGGTCCTACCTTACGAATATATCACATGGGAACCCAAGACAACATATACCCTACACTGTCTAGGTTTTGAGATCTTATCTCCACTACATTCCAGATACACTATAACGAGTTACACATAATTTTGCACTCAATGTATGCACAGCCGTCAACGTATACGAATTAAGGCCTAAAAAAAAAAAAGTTTCCAGATCTTCCGTTGCCCAGGTCTTCCGTTGCCCAGGTCTTCTGTTGCCCCGGGACTTCTGTTGGCCCAGGCTTATTATTGGAGCACCACAGCACACCAAACCAAACACCAGAACACACCACCTCACACCAAACCAAACACCGTAACACAGCACATCATACCAAACCAAACACCGTAACACACCACATCATACCAAACCAAACCAAACACCAAAACATACCGTACCACATCGTACCAAACCCACCCAACCCACAAACCACCCACCCAACCATACACCCAACCTACAAACCACCCACCCACCCAACCATACACCCAACCCACCCAGAAACTCCCGTCCCACCACCACCAACCCACACACTCACTCACCCACCCACCCACCGCCATCACACCTTACCTCTCACTCACCCGCCCTTGGGGTTTCAGCCCCCATACCTCACAATTACCCGCCCTCGAAGCTTCACCCATTTTCCCTCACACTCACCCACCCGTTCAACTTCAGACACCTTTCTTCTCACTCACCCACTCTTGGGGTTTCCACCCCCTTCCCTTCCACTCACACACCCAAGGGGTTTCAACCCCATTCTTCTCAAGTTACCCACCCTCAGGGTCCGCCCCCTCCCCTGTCACTCACCCATCCTTGGGGTTTCAACCCCCTCCTCTCTCACTGACCACCCTTGCACTTTCAGTGAGCCCTTTCCTCTCACCCACTCACCATTGGGGTTTCATCCCCGTTCCCTCTTACTCACCCACCATTGGGGTTTCATCCCCGTTCCCTCTCACTCACCCACCATTGGGGTTTCATCCCCGTTCCCTCTTACTCACCCACCATTGGGGTTTCATCCCCGTTCCCTCTCACTCACCCACCATTGGGGTTTCATCCCCGTTCCCTCTCACTCACCCACCATTGGGGTTTCATCCCCGTTCCCTCTTACTCACCCACCATTGGGGTTTCATCCCCGTTCCCTCTTACTCACCCACCATTGGGGTTTCATCCCCGTTCCCTCTTACTCACCCACCATTGGGGTTTCATCCCCGTTCCCTCTTACTCACCCACCATTGGGGTTTCATCCCCGTTCCCTCTTACTCACCCACCATTGGGGTTTCATCCCCGTTCCCTCTTACTCACCCACCATTGGGGTTTCATCCCCGTTCCCTCTTACTCACCCACCATTGGGGTTTCATCCCCGTTCCCTCTTACTCACCCACCATTGGGGTTTCATCCCCGTTCCCTCTTACTCACCCACCATTGGGGTTTCATCCCCGTTCCCTCTTACTCACCCACCATTGGGGTTTCATCCCCGTTCCCTCTCACTCACCCACCATTGGGTTTTCATCCCCGCTCCCTCTCACTCAATCACCATTGGGGTTTCATCCCCGTTCCCTCTCACTCACCCACCATTGGGTTTTCATCCCCGCTCCCTCTCACTCACTCACCATTGGGGTTTCATCCCCGTTCCCTCTCACTCACCCACCATTGGGTTTTCATCCCCGCTCCCTCTCACTCACCCACCATTGGGGTTTCATCCCCGTTCCCTCTTACTCACCCACCATTGGGGTTTCATCCCCGTTCCCTCTTACCCACCATTGGGGCACCATGGGGTTTCAGCCCCCAACTGTCTCACTCACCCACCAAGGGGATTCAGCCCCCTTCTATTCCACCCACACACACCAGGGGATTCAGCCCCACTTTTCAGCACCACTTTTCAGCTCCACTCATCCACCCAAGGGGATTCAGCCCCCTTTCTTTCGACTCACCCACCCAAGGGGATTCAGCCCCCTTTCTTTCCACTCATCCACCCAAGGGAATTCATCCCCTTTTTCGTCCAGTGGACGTCCACTCACCACCCAAAGGGTTTCAGGCCCCTTCCCATCCACCCACGCAAACCAGGGAATTTCAGGCCCACTCAATCAAGGAGTTTCAGGCCCCTTCCCATCCACCCACGCAAACCAGGGAATTTCAGGCCCACTCAATCAAGGGGTTTCAGGCCCCTTCCATCCACCCACGCAAACCAGGAAATTTCAGGCCCACTCAATCAAGGGGTTTCGGCCCCCTTCCCCCTCCACTCACCCACCCAAGGGGACTCAGCCCCATTCCCTTCCACTCAACCCACAACGGATTTTCAAACCCCCCTCTCTTCCACTCAACCACCAACGGGGTTTCACACCCCCCTCTCTTCCACTCAACCACCAACGGGGTTTCACACCCCCCTCCCTTCCACTCAACCACCAACGGGGTTTCACACCCCCCTCCCTTCCACTCAACCACAAACGGGGTTTCACACCCCCCTCTCTTCCACTCAACCACCAACGGGTTTCACACCCCCCTCCCTTCCACTCAACCACCAACGGGGTTTCACACCCCCCTCCCTTCCACTCAACCACAAACGGGGTTTCACACCCCCCTCTCTTCCACTCAACCACCAACGGGGTTTCACACCCCCCTCTCTTCCACTCAACCACCAACGGGGTTTCACATCCCCCTCCCTTCCACTCAACCACCAACGGGGTTTCACACCCCCCTCCCTTCCACTCAACCACCAACGGGGTTTCACACCCCCCTCCCTTCCACTCAACCACCAACGGGGTTTCACACCCCCCTCCCTTCCACTCAACCACCAACGGGGTTTCAAACCCCCCTCCCTTCCACTCAACCACCAACGGGGTTTCAAACCCCCCTCCCTTCCACTCAACCACCAACGGGGTTTCACACTCCCCTCCCTTCCACTCAACCACCAACGGGGTTTCACACCCCCCTCCCTTCCACTCAACCACCAACGGGGTTTCACACCCCCCTCCCTTCCACTCAACCACAAACGGGGTTTCACACCCCCCTCTCTTCCACTCAACCACCAACGGGTTTCACACCCCCCTCCCTTCCACTCAACCACCAACGGGGTTTCACACCCCCCTCCCTTCCACTCAACCACAAACGGGGTTTCACACCCCCCTCTCTTCCACTCAACCACCAACGGGGTTTCACACCCCCCTCTCTTCCACTCAACCACCAACGGGGTTTCACATCCCCCTCCCTTCCACTCAACCACCAACGGGGTTTCACACCCCCCTCCCTTCCACTCAACCACCAACGGGGTTTCACACCCCCCTCCCTTCCACTCAACCACCAACGGGGTTTCACACCCCCCTCCCTTCCACTCAACCACCAACGGGGTTTCAAACCCCCCTCCCTTCCACTCAACCACCAACGGGGTTTCAAACCCCCCTCCCTTCCACTCAACCACCAACGGGGTTTCACACTCCCCTCCCTTCCACTCAACCACCAACGGGGTTTCACACCCCCCTCCCTTCCACTCAACCACCAACGGGGTTTCAAACCCCCCTCTCTTCCACTCAACCACCAACGGGGTTTCACACTCCCCTCCCTTCCACTCAACCACCAACGGGGTTTCACACCCCCCTCCCTTCCACTCAACCACCAACGAGGTTTCACACCCCCCTCCCTTCCACTCAACCACCAACGGGGTTTCACACCCCCCTCCCTTCCACTCAACCACCAACGGGGTTTCACACCCCCCTCCCTTCCACTCAACCACCAACGGGGTTTCACACCCCCCTCCCTTCCACTCAACCACCAACGGGGTTTCACACCCCCCTCCCTTCCACTCAACCACCAACGGGGTTTCACACCCCTCTCCCTTCCACTCAACCACCAACGGGGTTTCAAACCCCCCTCTCTTCCACTCAACCACCAACGGGGTTTCACACTCCCCTCCCTTCCACTCAACCACCAACGGGGTTTCACACCCCCCTCCCTTCCACTCAACCACCAACGGGGTTTCACACCCCCCTCCCTTCCACTCAACCACCAACGGGGTTTCACACCCCCCTCCCTTCCACTCAACCACCAACGGGGTTTCACACCCCCCTCCCTTCCACTCAACCACCAACGGGGTTTCACACCCCCCTCCCTTCCACTCAACCACCAACGGGGTTTCAAACCCCCTCCAATCACCCACCCTCCGGGCGCCCTTCCCGCTCACTCACCCACCCAAAGGGTTTCAGCCCTTTTTCCTTCCACTCACCCACCCACCGAAGGGGACTCAGCCCCTTTCGTTTCTACTCACCCACCCACCCAAGGGGACTCAGCCCCTTTCGTTTCTACTCACCCACCCACCCAAGGGGACTCAGCCCCTTACGTTTCTACTCACCCACCCACCCAAGGGGACTCAGCCCCTTTCGTTTCTACTCACCCACCCACCCAAGGGGACTCAGCCCCTTTCGTTTCTACTCACCCACGCACCCAAGGGGACTCAGCCCCTTTCGTTTCTACTCACCCACCCACCCAAGGGGACTCAGCCCCTTACGTTTCTACTCACCCACCCACCCAAGGGGACTCAGCCCCTTTCGTTTCTACTCACCCACCCACCCAAGGGGACTCAGCCCCTTTCGTTTCTACTCACCCACGCACCCAAGGGGACTCAGCCCCTTTCGTTTCTACTCACCCACCCACCCAAGGGGACTCAGCCCCTTACGTTTCTACTCACCCACCCACCCAAGGGGACTCAGCCCCTTTCGTTTCTACTCACCCACCCACCCAAGGGGACTCAGCCCCTTACGTTTCTACTCACCCACCCACCCAAGGGGACTCAGCCCCTTTCGTTTCTACTCACCCACCCACCCAAGGGGACTCAGCCCCTTTCGTTTCTACTCACCCACGCACCCAAGGGGACTCAGCCCCTTTCGTTTCTACTCACCCACCCACCCAAGGGGACTCAGCCCCTTTCGTTTCTACTCACCCACCCACCCAAGGGGACTCAGCCCCTTTCGTTTCCACTCACCCACCCAACCAAGGGAACTCAGCCCCTTTCCGTCTCACTCACGCACCCTTGGGGCTTCAGCCCCCTTCCCATCCACTCACCCACCCAAGGGGTTTCAGGCCCCTTTCCCTTCCACTCACCCACCCAAGGGGTTTCAGGCCCCTTTCCCTTCCACTCACCCACGCAAGGGGTTTCAGGCCCCTTTCCCTTCCACTCACCCACCCAAGGGGTTTCAGACCCCTTTCCCTTCCACTCACCCACCCAAGGGGTTTCAGGCCCCTTTCCCTTCCACTCACCCACCCAAGGGGTTTCAGGCCCCTTTCCCTTCCACTCACCCACCCAAGGGGTTTCAGACCCCTTTCCCTTCCACTCACCCACCCAAGGGGTTTCAGGCCCCTTTCCCTTCCACTCACCCACCCAAGGGGTTTCAGGCCCCTTTCCCTTCCACTCACCCACCCAAGGGGTTTCAGGCCCCTTTCCCTTCCACTCACCCACCCAAGGGGTTTCAGGCCCCTTTCCCTTCCACTCACCCACCCAAGGGGTTTCAGGCCCCTTTCCCTTCCACTCACCCACCCAAGGGGTTTCAGGCCCCTTTCCCTTCCACTCACCCACCCAAGGGGTTTCAGGCCCCTTTCCCTTCCGCTCACTCACCCAAGGGGTTTCAGGCCCCTTTCCCTTCCGCTCACCCACCCAAGGGGTTTCAGGCCCCTTTCCCTTCCGCTCACCCACCCAAGGGGTTTCAGGCCCCTTTCCCTTCCACTCACCCACCCAAGGGGTTTCAGGCCCCTTTCCCTTCCGCTCACTCACCCAAGGGGTTTCAGGCCCCTTTCCCTTCCGCTCACCCACCCAAGGGGTTTCAGGCCCCTTTCCCTTCCGCTCACCCACCCAAGGGGTTTCAGGCCCCTTTCCCTTCCACTCACCCACCCAAGGGGTTTCAGGCCCCTTTCCCTTCCGCTCACTCACCCAAGGGGTTGCAGGCCCCTTTCCCTTCCACTCACCCACCCAAGGGGTTTCAGGCCCCTTTCCCTTCCACTCACTCACCCAAGGGGTTTCAGGCCCCTTTCCCTTCCGCTCACTCACCCAAGGGGTTTCAGGCCCCTTTCCCTTCCGCTCACCCACCCAAGGGGTTTCAGGCCCCTTTCCCTTCCACTCACCCACCCAAGGGGTTTCAGGCCCCTTTCCCTTCCGCTCACTCACCCAAGGGGTTGCAGGCCCCTTTCCCTTCCACTCACCCACCCAAGGGGTTTCAGGCCCCTTTCCCTTCCACTCACCCACGCAAGGGGTTTCAGGCCCCTTTCCCTTCCACTCACCCACCCAAGGGGTTTCAGGCCCCTTTCCCTTCCGCTCACCCACCCAAGGGGTTTCAGGCCCCTTTCCCTTCCACTCACCCACCCAAGGGGTTTCAGGCCCCTTTCCCTTCCGCTCACTCACCCAAGGGGTTTCAGGCCCCTTTCCCTTCCGCTCACCCACCCAAGGGGTTTCAGGCCCCTTTCCCTTCCGCTCACCCACCCAAGGGGTTTCAGGCCCCTTTCCCTTCCACTCACCCACCCAAGGGGTTTCAGGCCCCTTTCCCTTCCGCTCACTCACCCAAGGGGTTGCAGGCCCCTTTCCCTTCCACTCACCCACCCAAGGGGTTTCAGGCCCCTTTCCCTTCCACTCACTCACCCAAGGGGTTTCAGGCCCCTTTCCCTTCCGCTCACTCACCCAAGGGGTTTCAGGCCCCTTTCCCTTCCGCTCACCCACCCAAGGGGTTTCAGGCCCCTTTCCCTTCCACTCACCCACCCAAGGGGTTTCAGGCCCCTTTCCCTTCCGCTCACTCACCCAAGGGGTTGCAGGCCCCTTTCCCTTCCACTCACCCACCCAAGGGGTTTCAGGCCCCTTTCCCTTCCACTCACCCACGCAAGGGGTTTCAGGCCCCTTTCCCTTTCCACTCACCCACCCAAGGGGTTTCAGACCCCTTTCCCTTCCACTCACCCACCCAAGGGGTTTCAGGCCCCTTTCCCTTCCACTCACCCACCCAAGGGGTTTCAGGCCCCTTTCCCTTCCACTCACCCACCCAAGGGGTTTCAGACCCCTTTCCCTTCCACTCACCCACCCAAGGGGTTTCAGGCCCCTTTCCCTTCCACTCACCCACCCAAGGGGTTTCAGCCCCTTTCCCTTCCACTCACCCACCCAAGGGGTTTCAGGCCCCTTTCCCTTCCACTCACCCACCCAAGGGGTTTCAGGCCCCTTTCCCTTCCACTCACCCACCCAAGGGGTTTCAGGCCCCTTTCCCTTCCACTCACCCACCCAAGGGGTTTCAGGCCCCTTTCCCTTCCACTCACCCACCCAAGGGGTTTTCAGGCCCCTTTCCCTTCCACTCACCCACCCAAGGGGTTTCAGGCCCCTTTCCCTTCCACTCACACACGCAAGGGGTTTCAGGCCCCTTTCCCCTTCCACTCACCCACCCAAGGGGTTTCAGGCCCCTTTCCCTTCCACTCACCCACCCAAGGGGTTTCAGGCCCCTTTCCCTTCCACTCACCCACCCAAGGGGTTTCAGGCCCCTTTCCCTTCCACTCACACACGCAAGGGGTTTCAGGCCCCTTTCCCTTCCACTCACCCACCCAAGGGGTTTCAGGCCCCTTTCCCTTCCACTCACCCACCCAAAGGGGTTTCAGGCCCCTTTCCCTTCCACTCACCCACCCAAAGGGGTTTCAGGCCCCTTTCCCTTCCACTCACCCACCCAAAGGGGTTGCAGGCCCCTTTCCCTTCCACTCACACACGCAAGGGGTTTCAGGCCCCTTTCCCTTCCACTCACCCACCCAAGGGGTTTCAGGCCCCTTTCCCTTCCACTCACCCACCCAAAGGGGTTGCAGGCCCCTTTCCCTTCCACTCACCCACCCAAGGGGTTTCAGGCCCCTTTCCCTTCCACTCACCCACCCAAAGGGGTTTCAGGCCCCTTTCCCTTCCACTGACCCACCCAAAGGGGTTTCAGGCCCCTTTCCCTTCCACTCACCCACCCAAGGGGTTTCAGGCCCCTTTCCCTTCCACTCACCCACCCAAAGGGGTTTCAGGCCCCTTTCCCTTCCACTCACCCACCCAAGGGGTTTCAGGCCCCTTTCCCTTCCACTCACCCACCCAAGGGGTTTCAGGCCCCTTTCCCTTCCACTCACCCACGCAAGGGGTTTCAGGCCCCTTTCCCTTCCACTCACACACGCAAGGGGTTTCAGGCCCCTTTCCCTTCCACTCACCCACCCAAGGGGTTTCAGGCCCCTTTCCCTTCCACTCACCCACCCAAAGGGGTTTCAGGCCCCTTTCCCTTCCACTCACCCACCCAAAGGGGTTGCAGGCCCCTTTCCCTTCCACTCACCCACCCAAGGGGTTTCAGGCCCCTTTCCCTTCCACTCACCCACCCAAAGGGGTTTCAGGCCCCTTTCCCTTCCACTGACCCACCCAAAGGGGTTTCAGGCCCCTTTCCCTTCCACTCACCCACCCAAGGGGTTTCAGGCCCCTTTCCCTTCCACTCACCCACCCAAAGGGGTTTCAGGCCCCTTTCCCTTCCACTCACCCACCCAAGGGGTTTCAGGCCCCTTTCCCTTCCACTCACCCACCCAAGGGGTTTCAGGCCCCTTTCCCTTCCACTCACCCACCCAAAGGGGTTTCAGGCCCCTTTCCCTTCCACTCACCCACCCAAAGGGGTTTCAGGCCCCTTTCCCTTCCACTCACCCACCCAAAGGGGTTGCAGGCCCCTTTCCCTTCCACTCACTCACCCAAGGGGTTTCAGGCCCCTTTCCCTTCCACTCACCCACCCAAGGGGTTTCAGGCCCCTTTCCCTTCCACTCACCCACCCAAGGGGTTTCAGGCCCCTTTCCCTTCCACTCACACACGCAAGGGGTTTCAGGCCCCTTTCCCTTCCACTCACCCACCCAAGGGGTTTCAGGCCCCTTTCCCTTCCACTCACCCACCCAAAGGGGTTTCAGGCCCCTTTCCCTTCCACTCACCCACCCAAGGGGTTTCAGGCCCCTTTCCCTTCCACTCACACACGCAAGGGGTTTCAGGCCCCTTTCCCTTCCACTCACCCACCCAAGGGGTTTCAGGCCCCTTTCCCTTCCACTCACCCACCCAAGGGGTTTCAGGCCCCTTTCCCTTCCACTCACCCACCCAAGGGGTTTCAGGCCCCTTTCCCTTCCACTCACCCACCCAAGGGGTTTCAGGCCCCTTTCCCTTCCACTCACACACGCAAGGGGTTTCAGGCCCCTTTCCCTTCCACTCACCCTCCCAAGGGGTTTCAGGCCCCTTTCCCTTCCACTCACCCACCCAAAGGGGTTTTCAGGCCCCTTTCCCTTCCACTCACCCACCCAAAGGGGTTTCAGGCCCCTTTCCCTTCCACTCACCCACCCAAAGGGGTTGCAGGCCCCTTTCCCTTCCACTCACCCACGCAAGGGGTTTCAGGCCCCTTTCCCTTCCACTCACACACGCAAGGGGTTTCAGGCCCCTTTCCCTTCCACTCACCCACCCAAGGGGTTTCAGGCCCCTTTCCCTTCCACTCACCCACCCAAGGGGTTTCAGGCCCCTTTCCCTTCCACTCACCCACCCAAGGGGTTTCAGGCCCCTTTCCCTTCCACTCACCCACCCAAGGGGTTTCAGGCCCCTTTCCCTTCCACTCACCCACCCAAGGGGTTTCAGGCCCCTTTCCCTTCCACTCACACACGCAAGGGGTTTCAGGCCCCTTTCCCTTCCACTCACCCACCCAAGGGGTTTCAGGCCCCTTTCCCTTCCACTCACCCACCCAAGGGGTTTCAGGCCCCTTTCCCTTCCACTCACCCACCCAAGGGGTTTCAGGCCCCTTTCCCTTCCACTCACCCACCCAAGGGGTTTCAGGCCCCTTTCCCTTCCACTCACACACGCAAGGGGTTTCAGGCCCCTTTCCCTTCCACTCACCCACCCAAGGGGTTTCAGGCCCCTTTCCCTTCCACTCACCCACCCAAAGGGGTTTCAGGCCCCTTTCCCTTCCACTCACCCACCCAAAGGGGTTTCAGGCCCCTTTCCCTTCCACTCACCCACCCAAAGGGGTTGCAGGCCCCTTTCCCTTCCACTCACCCACCCAAGGGGTTTCAGGCCCCTTTCCCTTCCGCTCACTCACCCAAGGGGTTACAGGCCCCTTTCCCTTCCACTCACCCACCCAAGGGGTTTCAGGCCCCTTTCCCTTCCACTCACCCACGCAAGGGGTTTCAGGCCCCTTTCCCTTCCACTCACACACGCAAGGGGTTTCAGGCCCCTTTCCCTTCCACTCACCCACCCAAGGGGTTTCAGGCCCCTTTCCCTTCCACTCACCCACCCAAAGGGGTTTCAGGCCCCTTTCCCTTCCACTCACCCACCCAAAGGGGTTGCAGGCCCCTTTCCCTTCCACTCACCCACCCAAGGGGTTTCAGGCCCCTTTCCCTTCCACTCACCCACCCAAAGGGGTTTCAGGCCCCTTTCCCTTCCACTCACCCACCCAAAGGGGTTTCAGGCCCCTTTCCCTTCCACTCACCCACCCAAGGGGTTTCAGGCCCCTTTCCCTTCCACTCACCCACCCAAAGGGGTTTCAGGCCCCTTTCCCTTCCACTCACCCACCCAAAGGGGTTTCAGGCCCCTTTCCCTTCCACTCACCCACCCAAGGGGTTTCAGGCCCCTTTCCCTTCCACTCACCCACCCAAGGGGTTTCAGGCCCCTTTCCCTTCCACTCACCCACCCAAAGGGGTTTCAGGCCCCTTTCCCTTCCACTCACCCACCCAAAGGGGTTTCAGGCCCCTTTCCCTTCCACTCACCCACCCAAAGGGGTTGCAGGCCCCTTTCCCTTCCACTCACTCACCCAAGGGGTTTCAGGCCCCTTTCCCTTCCACTCACCCACCCAAGGGGTTTCAGGCCCCTTTCCCTTCCACTCACCCACCCAAGGGGTTTCAGGCCCCTTTCCCTTCCACTCACACACGCAAGGGGTTTCAGGCCCCTTTCCCTTCCACTCACCCACCCAAGGGGTTTCAGGCCCCTTTCCCTTCCACTCACCCACCCAAAGGGGTTTCAGGCCCCTTTCCCTTCCACTCACCCACCCAAAGGGGTTTCAGGCCCCTTTCCCTTCCGCTCACCCACCCAAAGGGGTTGCAGGCCCCTTTCCCTTCCACTCACCCACCCAAGGGGTTTCAGGCCCCTTTCCCTTCCACTCACACACGCAAGGGGTTTCAGGCCCCTTTCCCTTCCACTCACCCACCCAAGGGGTTTCAGGCCCCTTTCCCTTCCACTCACCCACCCAAGGGGTTTCAGGCCCCTTTCCTTCCACTCACCCACCCAAGGGGTTTCAGGCCCCTTTCCCTTCCACTCACCCACCCAAGGGGTTTCAGGCCCCTTTCCCTTCCACTCACCCACCCAAGGGGTTTCAGGCCCCTTTCCCTTCCACTCACCCACCCAAGGGGTTTCAGGCCCCTTTCCCTTCCACTCACCCACCCAAGGGGTTTCAGGCCCCTTTCCCTTCCACTCACCCACCCAAGGGGTTTCAGGCCCCTTTCCCTTCCACTCACCCACCCAAGGGGTTTCAGGCCCCTTTCCCTTCCACTCACCCACCCAAGGGGTTTCAGGCCCCTTTCCCTTCCACTCACCCACCCAAGGGGTTTCAGGCCCCTTTCCCTTCCACTCACCCACCCAAGGGGTTTCAGGCCCCTTTCCCTTCCACTCACCCACCCAAGGGGTTTCAGGCCCCTTTCCCTTCCACTCACCCACCCAAGGGGTTTCAGGCCCCTTTCCCTTCCACTCACCCACCCAAGGGGTTTCAGGCCCCTTTCCCTTCCACTCACCCACCCAAGGGGTTTCAGGCCCCTTTCCCTTCCACTCACCCACCCAAGGGGTTTCAGGCCCCTTTCCCTTCCACTCACCCACCCAAGGGGTTTCAGGCCCCTTTCCCTTCCACTCACCCACCCAAGGGGTTTCAGGCCCCTTTCCCTTCCACTCACCCACCCAAGGGGTTTCAGGCCCCTTTCCCTTCCACTCACCCACCCAAGGGGTTTCAGGCCCCTTTCCCTTCCACTCACCCACCCAAGGGGTTTCAGGCCCCTTTCCCTTCCACTCACCCACCCAAGGGGTTTCAGGCCCCTTTCCCTTCCACTCACCCACCCAAGGGGTTTCAGGCCCCTTTCCCTTCCACTCACCCACCCAAGGGGTTTCAGGCCCCTTTCCCTTCCACTCACCCACCCAAGGGGTTTCAGGCCCCTTTCCCTTCCACTCACCCACCCAAGGGGTTTCAGGCCCCTTTCCCTTCCACTCACCCACCCAAGGGGTTTCAGGCCCCTTTCCCTTCCACTCACCCACCCAAGGGGTTTCAGGCCCCTTTCCCTTCCACTCACCCACCCAAAGGGGTTTCAGGCCCCTTTCCCTTCCACTCACCCACCCAAGGGGTTTCAGGCCCCTTTCCCTTCCACTCACCCACCCAAAGGGGTTTCAGGCCCCTTTCCCTTCCACTCACCCACCCAAGGGGTTTCAGGCCCCTTTCCCTTCCACTCACCCACCCAAGGGGTTTCAGGCCCCTTTCCCTTCCACTCACCCACCCAAGGGGTTTCAGGCCCCTTTCCCTTCCACTCACCCACCCAAGGGGTTTCAGGCCCCTTTCCCTTCCACTCACCCACCCAAGGGGTTTCAGGCCCCTTTCCCTTCCACTCACCCACCCAAAGGGGTTTCAGGCCCCTTTCCCTTCCACTCACCCACCCAAGGGGTTTCAGGCCCCTTTCCCTTCCACTCACCCACCCAAGGGGTTTCAGGCCCCTTTCCCTTCCACTCACCCACCCAAGGGGTTTCAGGCCCCTTTCCCTTCCACTCACCCACCCAAGGGGTTTCAGGCCCCTTTCCCTTCCACTCACCACCCAAGGGGTTTCAGGCCCCTTTCCCTTCCACTCACCCACCCAAGGGGTTTCAGGCCCCTTTCCCTTCCACTCACCCACCCAAGGGGTTT